CCTGCCTGGCAAGCACAAAGTCATGAGTTCAATTCCTGGTACCGGAAGAAAAACAAACAAACAAACAAAAAGAAATCCAAGATGCAGTGAAGTATGTTCCAGCAGAAAACTTGGGTCCTCCTAAAAATGTATCCAAATCAAAAGCCAGGCATGGGGGAGAATGCCTGTAATCCCAACACTCAGGAGGCTGAGTTGGGAGGAGTAGCATGAGTTTGAAGCTAGCGTGGACTACACAGCAAGACTTAATTTAAAAAAAAAAAAAATCTGTCCAAATTGAGACCTTGCAACAAGGATAGGAGCTCTCAACTTGGAGGAAGCATGAGTAGAGGAGTCTCCAAGAGCTCAGCCCGCACGCGCGCGCGTGTGTGTGTGTGTGTGTGTGTGTGTGCAGCTAGTATATGCTGTCCAGCCTTCTCAGGGGCTGTGACCTTGGCTCAGGCCACCAACTTGTGTTTTCTGTCCCCAGCACCACGGGCAGCCTCAGTGCAATCCAGAAGATGACGCGGGTGCGTGTGGTGGACAACAGTGCCTTGGGCAACACCCCATACCACCGCCCTCCCCGCTGCATCCACGTCTACAACAAGAACGGGGTAGGCAAGGTGGGCGACAGAATCCTGCTGGCCATCAAGGGGCAGAAGAAGAAGGCGCTCATCGTGGGGCACCGCATGCCTGGCCCCCAGATGACCCCCAGGTTCGACTCCAACAACGTGGTCCTCATTGAGGACAACGGCAACCCTGTGGGGACTCGGATTAAAGTGCCAGTGCCCACGAGCCTGCGCCGGAAGGAGGGCGAGTACTCCAAAGTGCTGGCCATAGCACAGAACTTCGTGTGAACGGGCGGAGCGCAGCCTGCACTTGGCTGCGTGGACAGCGCCCCTCAGGGCGGGTGGCGGTGTCCTCGGAGGGAATAAACATTTTCGTGCACAGCTGCTTCCTGTGCATCTGGGTTGGGACTGTGAGGCTGACCATACCCAGCCCCGTGGGGTGACAGCCTGCCCCCTGCTTTTCTCGTTGGGGCTGTGTGACATGAGTTCACTCAGACTTGATAGGCTTGGGAAACCGGGTACAAGTCAGTTGTCTATAAATGTGCCATAGGGTCTGCCACTTTCTAACCCAAAGAGTTTTGCTCTGTTTTGCTCCGTAGCATCTCATCCTGTCTTAAAGGGCTCAAGACATCATTGCACCGTTATAAAGACGAGAGGAGCCAGGTGTGGTGGTGCATGCCTGTAATCTCAGCACTCAGGAGGCTGAGGCAGGAGGATTGCTGTGAGTTCAAGGCCAGCCTGGACAACCGAACAGTTTAGTGGGACTGTGTCTCAAAAAAAAAAAAAAAAAAGATGACTGGGCCACTGTGGAATGTGAACTGGGCCATGTCCCGTGGGCTGCAGGAGCACCCAGACAGCACCCTGCTGTTCCTCGGGGTGTCAGCCAGCAGCCTGCTCTGTGGCAGGGCTACAGGGAGATGGATGGGTCCTGCTTTGCAGATGACATATCAGGCCTGCGCTGGTGACTCCGTGACAGTTCGTCTTCCATTCATTTATTGGTGTCCTTGGGGAAGTGAGGTGCTAGGTGCTGTCTTGGTTTCTGTAAAGGAAGTCCCATCAGCTCCTGTCCACATTCCTTCACCTCACACACCTTGGGTGCTTGTCAGCTACCAAAGTGGGCCTCAGACACAGGGTCGTAGCGTGGTCAGGAACAGCTCCGCAGCCAGGCTGCCCGGTGTGAATCCCACTCCACCACAAAGCCTGGCGAGACATTGCACACACTCTGACCCTGCGTGTCTCAGATTCCTTGCTAGAAGACGGGGATGTAACAGTGGCACGATCTGGCAGGGTTAAGTGAGCTTAGTGCCCGTGAGTGCTTTGCATGGTACCTGGAGGAATAAGCAGTCAGCGTGGCTGAGCCATTCCTGTTCTTGTGACTCTGCCAGCCCCGGGAAACAAGGGCTGGAGCTTGGCTTGGGGGAGGCCGCATACTATGGTGGGAAGGTGGATGGGGCAAAGCTGCTCAGATCCCACCAGGAGGTAAGGAAGGGACAGGTCCTGCTGTCTCCTTCAAGCGTATGACCCTTGTGACCCCAGCGACTACCCACTAGGCCTTGCCTTTGAGGGCTCCTCCACTACTGCCTCGGGCTGGGGACCAAACCTGTGACATAGGAGCCTCTGGGAGGACATTTAGGGTTTATCTGTAGCCCAGGGTGGTGGCACATGTGTAATCCCAGTTACTTGGGAGGAAGGAAGATTACAAGTTTGAGCCCAGTTACTTGGGAGGAAGGATTACAAGTTTGAGCCCAGGACAGGTAGCTTAGACACTTTCTCAAAATGAAAAGGCTGGGGAGGCAGCTGGGTGGTAGAGCCTTTGCCTGGGTGTATAAGGCCTGGGTTCCATCCTCAGTGCCACCACAGCTAGGAGAGGGGCAGCTGTGATGCACGGTCTTGAGCCCCAGCGTAGGTTTCATGATGAGGGTGCTGGGCCCATGCAGGTGTTTGGGAAGCAGGGGTGGGCAGTAGTGGAGGGAGAAGGCTGTTAAGGTGGAGAGGACAGGCTGGGCTTCGCACTGAATATTAAGGTGGAGAGGGCACCTTGTGGAGGTTTGGCCGTGGGTCATTGGGCAGCGAAGGCCAGGATGAGCCCAAGGCTCCTGCCTCCTGTGCCTGTGTGGGTGATCGTGCTGAGCGTCAAGCCAGGTCCTCCGGGAGCCTGCAGGCTGGCAGGGGCACCATGTCATTGAGGGTCCAGGAGCCATGTGGCTGCAGCTGGGTAGAAAGTCTCGAGTCAGGTGCACCCTGCACATACGGGGATGTGTGTGTGCTTGGTGTCCCTCATAGACCTGGGGCTTTGCAGGCATCGGTCGCATTCTTTTGGGGAGGACCTGGAATCAGAGACAAGGCAGTTTCTCTGCCCGATGTTTCATGGTTGCCAAAGACTGTTTCCAAGATGGATCCTGGGGTTGCCTGTCTGGGGTCTCCCAGCATTTCCAGGTGCGGTTCTCTGGTGGCTGTGCCCTGTCTGTGGTTCTCACTGGCTGCGCCCCTGCAATCTTCCAAGTCCTGGGGCACCCAGTGGTGCCCCGGGCCGCTCTACTTGGTGCTCGTGCCAGGAGGCAGGGGCTGCCAGCATCACGTCTTCTGGCGGAGGCTCTCCCAGGGTCCTGAGCGTAGCTCCCAGTGCTCTGGGCATCACCTTTGGCAAGTGCTGGTGGAGTCTGGGCGCTGAGCACCACTGCCCTCACCAGGCTGCCCTGCAGTACGCTCTCTGTGCTGCCACGGTGGGACCTGGGGCTTGAAGTTGCCCTCTGTCTGCCACCCGCCACTCCAGGCTGTGGCAGGAGGGGCCTGTCTGGGGCAAAGGCAGGGACTTGCTTTCAGCCTGGCAATGCCCAGGGTGGACTCTCACTCTGCCTGGGGGCAGCTTGACCCACACATCCCTAGCTTCTCCGCTCTCTTCTTCCTGGGGTCAGGCCCTGTCCTCTCTGACTCCATGGGTGTGAGTGCTTGGCCCAAGGTGCTCTGGGCTGGCCACCGGAAGGCTGTGGTTTCCGTGCAGCCAGATGCCTGGGGCTGTGACGCAGGCCTTGCCCCACACTGCCCAGAATAGCCCTTCCTGGCTGCTGCGCCCGCTGCCTGATCATTTTGCAGATGGGGACTTCATTTGCTGTCCACCACCACCCCACTCTCTTGGCCCATGAAAAATTTATAATCACGGATTGTGTTTCACTCTCTGAGAGGATAAACTTGCTGTTGTCCCCTCTGTGCCCTTATGAAGCTGTCTAACAGCCCCAGGGACTCATCCTTCTAGTCCTGGACATCACTGCGATGTCCTTGCTGAAGTGTCCCCCCCACCTGTGGTGTGACCACCCCGGGCCACCGTAGGGGCCATGGGGATAGGCAGCAGTGGTTGGCAGACTTGGGTTCCTTTCGGGACCCTCCTGCAAGCCAATGATGTGACTTCAGGAAGCCACCAGCCTGCGGAGCTGGGAGCTCACTGGGCTCAGGAGGAGGCCCAGCTGGCAGTGTGCCCCTACCCTGGAACCATGTGACACTGTCCCCCGCTCCCTGAAGGGTATGCCCTTGGAGCAGATGGAGACCCAGCCGAAGAGGGCACAGAGTAGTGATCCCCGTTAGTGAATACTGACCTGTAAGCCCTGTCCTAAGCACCTCTCTTGATTTTACTTTTTGGGGGACAGTTTCATGCTGTAGCCTAGGCTGACCTTCAACTTGTAATCCCCCTGCCTCAGCCTCCTGAGTGCTGGGATTACTGGTGTGTGCTACCACACTGGGCCTGTTCTAAGCATTGTGAATGCCTGAAATTATATCATCCTGGTGGCCTCCTGGGGAAGATCCTCTGGGTACCCCTGGGTTTCTTCCTGGGCTGGGAATTATGTTGCGGGGTTGCTTAAGCTTCCTGTGGTATGGGATGTGCTGTGGATGGGTGAGGCCAGGGGTGGTGGTGCAGGAGGCCTGAGCAAGTGAGAGGCACCCCACTGCCTCAGTTGGGGCGGAACAGGGTCTTTAAAGGAAATGGTGCAGAAGGGGTGAAGGCCTGGGGGGAGGGGAAGGTGGGAGGCAGCTGCCAAAAGGGAAGGAGGGGCCAAGGAGGAGAGGGCCATGGACAGGGTTTCCCACCCAGCAGAGGGGGCTCTGTCTGGGCTAGCAGCTCCCGTGGGGTGGAGAGGAGAAGGTGACAGGGTGTCCCAGTGCCCTCCACTGCCACCCTGAGCACACAGCTGCCCCTGGCTTATGCATTGTTGCAGTTCCTAGTGTGTCTGGGTCACACTGAGGCACCAGCTGCAGACTCAGTGAGCCTGGTCCCGCCTGTGGGGAGGTTCCTGGGCCTGCAGCAGTTGGCCGGAGGGGACAGAAGCAACAGTTTATGGGGCAGGGGTTGTACCTCATTTTGTAAGGAAACTGAGGAGGTTGTTATTGCATGGGTGTTCCTTGCTGGGTCTGGCTCCCCAGCTCTCTCTTCCTACTCCAGACAGAACTCTGGCTGCCACAGCAGATAGAAGAGGGTTCATGCTGCCAGGTCCTCAGCATGTGGCATAGTTTGATGGGGACATAAAGCAGCTGAAGCTCATAAGGTCCCACACCTTTCAGCTCATTCGTTCATTCATTCATGTATGTACTAGGGATTGAATCCACTGAACACTGAGCTACATTCCCAGTCCTTTTTTACTTTTTAAATTTTGGGATGTGGTCCGGCTAAGTTGCCCAGGCCAAGCTTGAATTTTCCATCTTCCTGCCTCAGCTTCCCAGAGTGCTGGGATTACAGGCATGCACCACCACCCCAGTTTCACACGTCTTTGCTTTTTTACAAGGCCCTTCCAAGCCTGGAACCTAAGGGCTGGGTGTGGTAGTGCTTGCTTGTATCTCAGCACTTGGGAGGCTGGGGAAGGAGGATTGAAGTTCGAGGCCAGCCTGGACTACATAGTGAGCTCAAGGCCAACCTAGACTATATAGCAAGACCCTGTCTCAGACAAATAACCTGAAACCTAGCACGTTATGGATGCGTTCCTGGCATAGTTCCCGCGTGCTTGGGTGCAGTGGCAGGGTGGAGTCCCTGAAATCCTCCAGGTGCTCCTAGGGTGAGAGCCCCAAGGAAGTGCTCATCAGTGGGGGACAGAAGAGAGAGACAGCTCTGCCCTTCCCAGGCAGCCTCGCTGGACCCAGAGGGCACCCAGAGGCCTGTGCAGTCTGAGAACTGGGCACAGGTGAATAAACAAAGTCCCCTGCTCCACGGGACCCAACACAAGCAGCTCCAAAAGGACAGCAGGGTGTGAGCAGATACAGCACCGCCCTCTGATGGCTGCGGAGCGGGAGAAAGGGGGTTGCAGGGCAGCTTTGTAAAGTAAAACATGACTGTGCTCAGTGGAGTCATTTATTTCCTGCGGATGTAGAAACATCTCTGTGAACACACACAGAAAACGGGGTTGGGCCGGGGAGACAGCAGCGCAGCACCTGCCTGGCAAGCTCGAGGTCCCGAGTTGGATTCCCAGTGCTAAAAAAAAAAAAAAAGTAAATCCTTTAGAAAGCAGGGGGTGAAGCGACTGCTGGCAGCAGGACTCCTGCGGGAGGATGGGACCCTGGCCAGAGGAGAGATGCCCATCTATAGGATGCAGGATTTTTTAAAAAATGGTACTGAAAATTGAACCCAGGGACTTTGCACTGAGCTCCATCCTAACCCCTTTTCAATTTTGAGACAGGGTCTTGATAAGTAGCTACATTGCCCAGGCTGGGTTCAAACCTGTGATTCTCCTGCCCCAGCCTCCTTTTTTTTTTTTTTTCTGGTACCAGGAATCGAACTCACAACTTTGCACTTGCCAGGCAGGTGCCGTGCTGCTGAGCTAAATTCCCAGCCCCTGCCTCAGCCTTCTGGAGTGCTGGAATTACAGGAGTGCATCACCATGCTCGCTCTTTAATTTTTAAAAATGAGACTGTCCTTAAAACCAACTAAAAGAACAGTGCATATCTAGGGTGTACAGGCAAGGAGGGAGGAGAGGTTCTGAGGGGGTGGGAGAGAGGCGGAGGCCGGGTGAGCATGTGGCCCAATCCTGCCAGTCACCCTGGGCGCTGAGGATAAACACCACGGCCCTGTGGTGGAACAGTCTGGCAGGTGGCAGGGAGGCCCCTGGTCACGCACGTTTCCGTGTCCATGGCGCCATCTAGTGGGCACGGGGCTCCCTGCAGCCTGGTCCTCAGGGATGTGTGACTGGGCCTGGCCGGAAGAGGCGAGGAGTGCAGGGAGGCCGTGGCCAGACCCCTGTGTGGGGTGGCTGACTACCAAGCTTGCCCTCCTCCCTGAGGCCCGCCTGATGTCAAGCCTGCGCCCAGCTTTGGGCAGATCCTGAGCCTTGATGCCAACTCCGCACAGCCCTGGATCCTGGTGGGAACCAGAGCACCCACAGGGTGCTCCCAGAGGAGAGGGAGGTGGAGCTACACAGAGCCCTATAGGCACGGGCCAGACCATCAGTGCCCACGTGCACTGGTCCCCCTCTCATGCCTGTTTCCTTCCTTGGCCTGCAGTGGCACCTTCCTCTCAGGGGTGCTATGAGGGAAAATAAAGCACACATTCCAGATGCTTCCAGAGTGAGGCTGCACATGGCCTCTGGGGTTGCCAGGTCCCACGAAGATGACCTTGCCCTCTCTCCTCAGGAGTCGGGGCAGTGACCGAATGGACAGGAAGCCCCAGGCGGGCTCCAAGGGTCTCTATATGGGAAGGGCAGACTGGGGCGAGGGCAGAGTGGGCAAGGTGGGGATATCGTTCCTGGGGCTACGTGATGCCTCCCTCTATGCCTGAGCTATGCAGGGTGGAAGACAGAGCAGGCCCTGCACCCCCCACGCTGTCCCCTCCTGTTTCTGCTGCCCCTATCTGGCCCCATCTCTGCCTCAATAGAGCCGAGACAGCACGGCTAGGTGCTGCCCCAGGGTCAGTGTAGTCTCCGATGGGCACTTGGGCCCTTGTGGTCTGGTCAGGGCTCCTTCCTGCCCGTCTCCCTGGCTCCTCCTCTGGCACCCAGTCCCCGCTCCCACCTGCCTTGGTCCCACAGCCCTGTGCCCGCCTTGTCCTGAGAGGCCGGGTTCTGGAGTTGGCTCCTGTACAGAGGCTTGCCCGGCAAACCGGCCACCGCAGGCTCCTGTCGTGAAACTGGTTGTCATCCGTCACTTGCCAGTTGTGACACTGGTACAACCAGGCCTCAACTGGTTGGCGGGGGAAGGCGAGTGAGCTTCGTTCTCAGACCATGGGGTGGACTCTCCCCTGGCCCTCCACATGTCCCATCAGGGCCAGCTGGGCCTCGTCCCTGTCTGTGTGCTTGGCACTGAGCCCTGGGCTTGGCCTACCCTGGCTGATGCTCTGTCTCTCCTGCCCGCCTGCATCCTCCTCTGTCCCTTGCTTTCCTTCACAGCCCCTCAGTCTCCTGGCAGCCCCAGTGCCCATCATCTGAGCCTGACATCTGATCGCACAGGGCCAGGTGCAGGTCTCTTGACACTTTTTTTTTCTGGTACTGGGGATTGAACCAAGGGTGCTTTACCACTGGCTGCATCCCAAGCCCTTTTCACATTTCAAAAAAAATTTTTACTTTGAGACGGGATCTTGCTAAATTGTCCTGGCTGGTCTTGAACATGTGATCCTCCTGCCTCAGCCTCCCAAGCAGCTGGGATTACAGTGTGTGCCACACACTCGGCTTCTGCCCTAGCTTTGCTCCTTAAACCCAAGTCAGGATTTCAGTGCAGAGTTTCGGCACTGCCTACCGCAGTAGTAAAGGCCCTGGTCAGATCTGTGTCACCCTGCGTAGTAGAACAGTGGTCTAGAATGTTCTGGTCAAACTTGAGAGATTCAGAGAGGGCTTGGAGGGGCTGGCAGTGGTCAGGCTGAGGGAACCGTGCCTGGTTCTGAGGAACTTGCTGTCTGCATAGGGACCATCCAGGCCAAACCAGAGGTGTGGTCAGGGGGCTGTGACTGCTGGGGTCCTCACCTCCTCAGGTACAGTACAAAGGGACAGCCTGGGGGTAGGCAGCCCTAAGTCCAGCCCGGCAGTCTGCCCCTGTGGGAATGACCTGGAGGGTGGCCCAGGGACAGGGACAGGGACAGGACCCCACCCTCTGCCAGATCCCGGGCCAGTGACGGAGACCTTTGGGAACGTGTTACTACTGTGTTTCTACCTCAGTGAGCGTCACTGTGCGGTGGACCCCACCCAGCATTCTTGCCGCTACCTGCTTCACCGTCCCCATGGTGGTGACCTGCACCGCGTGCTCCTCTGCCTGTCCCCACCATGCGCAGCGCCCTGTGACCCCCTTCACAGCTCCATATGCCCAGCAATTGTCCGGAGCAGAGAAGCCAGGTCACAGGGCACCGTGCGCTGAGTGCTGCCACCTGCCTGCCACCTGCTGTGCAAGCGGCTCCCCTGCCCCCTCCCCTGCAGCATGGCCTTCCGCTGGCATTTGTGGCTTGTCGTCTCCTGGAGGGAAAGTGGTGCCTGGTGCTTCCCGGCATTTCTTGAGCGCATTAGCTTTGAGGCTTTTGTCCTGGAATCCCGGGTCTCTCTCTCTCTTGTCCACCTTTGGGATATAGGTGTCGCCCTCTAGTTATGCTACAGTCATTGTCCCCGGGAGGGTTTGACACAGGGAACACCACTGGCTGTCACTGTCACCCTCAGGCATTTTGAAATCCGATTCCTCCCCCTCCCTGGATGGCACAGGAAGGCCCTTCTCGTGTCTCTGCCCTTTTGGTAAATGCCAGCTCTGGGCACAAGGTACAGCGTGACCAGGAACTTGTCTTAGGTGGGGCCCGGGCACAGGGGAGGGAGGCCAGGCCAGGGCAGGATGGCAGTGCCCAGGATCTGTCCCTGCTGTTCGGGGTCTTTAGTCCTTTGGGTCACTGTGCCCTGCTCCACACACACAAGGCCTGTGGGAGGGCTTGTTGGGGCTCCCTCCCCAGGGGGCCACCCAGGCAGGCTGCCCTCTCCGCCTGGGACCCTGGCAGCTTCCCTGCACGTGCTCACCTGCCAGCTGAAGGCTATGTGCTGGTCCTGCCAGTCCGGTTATCAGAGGGGAGCGAAGGGACGGTGGGGACATACAGGGACATGAGTGTCTGCACGTGGCACCCTGGTGAGCCTGGCCAGGGGAGGGCTGGCTCTGTGCCCCACACTGGGGCCCCAGCAGGCATCTGATGCATCATCGCTATGGTTAATTTTATAATTCGGGGCTGCAGCACGCCGTCTTTCTCCTGGGTAAATCCTGAAACCCAAGCCTGTGGCTGCTGGGTATAGGCACAGAGCATGGGCGTTGGTCGGGGCCCCTGGCTATCCCCACTACAGGGCCATCTAATGCCATCTTCCTGCCTGCTGGTGACATCAGTGCCCTTGGGGTGATGGCTATGGGTCTGGAGTGAGCTGGAATGTGCAAATCACGTGTGAGTGCCTGTGCCACGTAAATGTGGATGTGAACAGCATCCTTGATGTCTGCTTAGCACTGCCCAGCCGGGAGAGGCAGCCCAGGGCTCCAATCTACTCAGTGAGGATTTAGCCTGTGCCCGTGGGAATAGAATCCAAGCTGGAACAAGGTTCACTGGGTAATGCCTGAGTGAATACATGGAGAGATGCCCATTTCCATGGTGCTGAGGTGGAAGTCACTGTCCCTCTTCTGGGAGTTTATAGGGCACTGTACTGGATGACCTTTAGGTGACTTTCCAGCTCCTGTGACCTGAGCAGGCTCTGCCACCTGTTCAAGGCCCCACATTCCCATGCCTTCCTGCAGCGGGGCTGGTGTCTGTGCTCTGCATGGTCCTGCCCTTGGGCGGCTCCTGCACCAGGATGTGGGACAGCCAGGGCTAGCAATGGCCCAGGTGGGACCTCCATGCTGGGCAAGGGGAGGCCAGGAAGACAGGCCCTTTGTGGGCAGCCTGGAGGGCTTCTTGAGGGAGACAGCTGCGTCCTCAGTGTGGGGACCCCTGGGCTGGTTCTGGTCAGCCACCCAGCATGCATCCACCCTCTGCCTGCTCTGCCCTGTCCCGCAAGAGGGCGAATGCCCTGCTGCAGGGCAGGACCCACCCAGTGTGTGCGGGACTCAGTGCTTCTAGGTGCAGTTGTGATGCTGTGTGACCAGAGCTGGTTCTCGGCCCTCAGTCTGTCCCCTCCCCTGCAACATGAGTGTTAGCAGAGGTGACCATGCAGGGGGCCCTGCCTGCATTGGACTCTCAGTGAAGGTCTGCTGGGGACACCTGGACCCCCAGCCCGAGCCTGGGGACAGAAGAGGGAGTGATGGGAAGGGATCTCTTTGTGCGGCCACCTTCTGGAGCGCCTCCCCAGCAGAGTCCCCTCCCTGCCCCGCTATCCCATGGGTGTTACATTCCACAGAAGAAAGCCATCTCACCCTGAGGCCGGAGGATTATGGCAGGGGCAGCCAAGGTGCCCTGGGAAGGCCCCCGCTGCCCTTTCCCACCCACCAGAGGCTGGATGGGGGGCAAACCTGGTGCACCCCAGCCCCAGGGAGCTACAGGACCTTCCCCCTCTGTGGCGGTCAGTAACCCTCGAGGGAGGGGACTATGTGGAGTCCGCAGGACACCAGCAGTAGCTGGAACCTGAGCCCTGGGGTCTCCACATGCCTGGCCTGCCCTGACCCCTCTCCCAGGTCACAGCCCCCCCATTCCTGCTAAGCTGGGATTTCCGCAGCTGAGCCAAGCACCTGACCCTGATTATGGCGCCTGCATCCTGTGGGGTTAAGCTCCCCATGGCCCCCTTCCCTGCTCCAGAGGCCAGGCCCGGGGTCAGAGGCCCAGGAGGCCCAAACTAGGATGACGGGCCAGGTCTCCTGGGGCTCTGGGGTGAGCAGGTGGCTTCTGCAGGACCCAAGTGGGCAGAGGAACACGTTTCTCCAGAGAGCTCTTGGGACAGGTGGCCCCAAGGAGCTGACCATGGAGGGCAGGGGATCCTGAAGGTGAGGACCCTGAGGCCCCCTCCCTACCCTGGCTGCAGGCAGACCCCTGGGGAGAATGCAAACCACATGCCTTTGGCTGGCACCCTGATGGGTTTTGATCTGCTGCAGGGCTCACAAGCATGTGTCATAAACTTCCCCAGGTGATTCCCATGCATGATTCTCTGCTGTGAGAATAACACTCTGTCTAGCCCTACCCCGTGGGCAATCTGGGAGACTGAAGCGGGGGAACAGAGGGCACAGGTAGAGGGCACCCTGATCATTGGCGTGAGGCTGGGTTGGAACCTGAGGTTTCCACCCCTGTGGCAGGCCTCTTCCTGCCCCCTCTGTCGCCTGAGTGCTGGTTGAGTTACCTGCAGTCGTTTCCTCGAGGTTGGATCCCGAGTGGCTGTGTGACCCTTGGGGAGTTGTGTACCGTCCTGTGCCTTGGTTTCCCGCTGCAATGATAATAAACCCTTGTGATAAGAACCAAAGAAGACAAGGCCTACGAGGTGTCCCGGAGCACTCTGGGAAAGGTGGCTGTGACCTTCCCACTGGGTGCCTGGGCTGGGACCACAGGGTGTTATTGGTCAGCGTCCTGCAGCTACAGAAGTGGCCACCAGGTGTCACTCTTGGCTCATGCTTGAAGTAAGGCTCTGCAGCCAGAGGAAGGACAGGGTGGAAAACCAAGACACCCTACATGGGAACCGGGAGCAGAGGGACAGCTTCTGGGGTCGGAAGGTGCTTGAAAAGGCTTGCTCCTCTGCCTGCCTGTGAATCCTCCCTACTGCTGCCACTGGGTCACATTCAACAGGTTTCTGGGGGGCACCAGAGTGCACCCAGAGATATGAGCAATCTGTGAGCTGTGAGAATCTCACCAAACCCACTTCCCACTCCGTGCAAGCCTCTGCACACCCACAGGCCCCTCAGTATTCACCACAGCCCGCACAGCAGGTACCATGTCAGTCCAGGCCATGGGGGGAACAACCTGAGGCTCACACTGATGGTGCATTGGGTCCAAGTCCCCCCTGAGCAGACACTTCCGGTCCGGAGCCTAACTGCTCTCTGGCACACCAGGAGGCTTTCTGCAAAGTGCCAGGATGCTAAGCCTACAGGAGGCTTCCTGCCAAGTCCGGAGAGACAGGTGGGTGGCTTGGCTCCTCCAGCGCCAGTCAGGAGCCCAGCAGGCAGGAAAGGGAGCTGTGCTCACCAGCCCAGGTGGGAGTGGGGTTTGAGGGTGCTGGGTGCTGGCCATGGGCTGGCTGCAGACAGAGCGCTCATGGGAGACTATACCCTCCCAGGTCCTCCTGCTCTGGGCGATCTCCTCACTCCAGAGATAGTCCAGTTTCTTCATCATCAACTATAGAGTGGACTTTGTCCCTCAGCATGGTGGCTCTGATCCCTGCTCGCTCCAAAGCTCTGAACTAATCAGGTTTCAGGCCAGATTTCAGCCGGACGAGACAAGCCTTCTGCTGCCCAAGCTCCCTGCTCCGGAGGTCTGGACCTGTGACCTCCGCGGTATTTTCGACCAGGTACCCCTAGCAATAAAGAATGGTTACTCACACCCCTGTAATATGAATCTATTTTTATATAGTTTACCTTGTAAAAGACACTCACATTAAACAAAAGAGAGGAGGAGAGAAGGGTGAGTAGTTGTCCTGGCACTTTATACCAGCGTCCCTGGCCATGTGCACCCTGGTGCCTGGATCCCAGTGGCTCCAGGAGCTGGGGTGACAAAGGCAGCTCATCCCAGCACCCCAGAACTCATGCACCCACCTTCTTCCATCAGGCCCAGTGGGTAGGAATGTGGATGGACAGGGTGATAATAAGCAGACCACATCTTCAGAGGGTTCAGGTAACCTAGACAAGAGCCTATTTTATTATCATTATTATTATTGTTATGTTTTTTGAACAGTGTCTCTCTATGTAGTTTAGACTGGTTTTGAACTTGCTACGTAGCCCTTGCTGGCAATTCTCCTGCCTTAGCCTACAAGTGCTGCGATTACAGCTGTTCACCACCATGCCCAGCTCTGTGTTTTTTTTTTTTGTTTTTTTTTTTTGTACCAGGAATCGAACTCAGGACCTTGCGCTTGCCAGGCAGGTGCTTGTGCTGCTGAGCTACATCGCCGGCCCTCAGCTCTGGTTTTTATTTTAGACTCTGAGCCTGAGAATTTTGTGTTCGCTTTTATACAGTTGCAGGATAGCAGGGACAGGATGCCTGCCCAGGCCATGTCAGATTTCATGCCCTTTAGCCAGTTCTGTTCCATTTCCACCCAGGGAAGTTGGGGAGCACTCCTGCCACCACATGGACTTAAGACAGGGACAGCACTCAGGGGTCCCCCTCCTGGGAGGCTGCTGTGGCCCCTGCCTAGCAGGTCCCTATACTGGGCCTCACACTAGGGGACTCTGTCAGTGAGGACTGCAGGATGGTGCGGGGAGGCAGGAGGCCATGCCTGGGCTGCCCACAGGAACCCCCAGTGGGCCTTCTTGCTCAGAGTCATCCTGGGACAAGTCTGGCCCCTGCTGTGGCGCCAAAGAGGACGAAGGGTTTGTGAAGGCAGCTGTCAGCCCTGGCCGGGGCCGCCATGACGCCTGGCCATGTGGGTGCCTTTATGCACCATGACTGTGACTGGGTGTCTGTTCCCTAGTCACAGAGGGCTTGTTCTTCGGGCCCAGGGGTGTGGGGGTGGGGTGGGGGCACGGCCTGCAACAGGGAACCTACGTGAGGCCGGGCACGCACAGCCTCACCCACCAGCCCTAAGCCTGCCAGGTACGACCAGCTGCTGCGGCCGACTGCAGACCGCCTCCTCCCTTCCCTGGGCATGGCCAGGCCAGGGGGCAAATGACTTGGCCGGCGCCTCTCTCGCTGGGCCCACTGGGGCAGGGCCAGCACACCTGGGGCATAGGCAGGGCCCTGGCTGGTGGGTGCTCTGCCAGCCCTCCCCACTCCCAGTGGGGCAGGGACTGGGGTGCGGAGGGGGCGGCCAGAGACAGGCCCCCTCCTCTCGAGATGGAGCTGTGGTGGGGCTGATGGATGGGTGGTTATGGGGGGGGGTGAGTTTCTCTGTTTAGGGCCCGGAAATGATTTCCATGCAAATGAGATGCAAACTCTCTAATGAGTTTGCAATTAGGAGTCCCAGGCTGCCAGGCCAGGCAGCGCCTGCGGGTTTTATGAATGGGCCCGCATGGGGAGGGGAGGCGCTGGCCCGCCCCCACACTTCCCTGCTTCTGCGCCGCCAGCCTGCCCGCGACATGCCGCGCCGCACGTTGCTGCCTCCCGGGCCGCCGCGACCTGGCTGGCCGCCAGCGGGTCAGCTGCTCCGGACGGATGGCGCGGGAGGCTGTCGGCCAGAGTCCCCGCCACGCTGCCTGCCTCGGCAACGTGTTGGGGCCAGTGACACGCCCCCTGGGGGGCCCTTCCTGTTACTGGAATGGCTTTCTGCACCAGGATAGGGGGAAGCTGGTTTTCAGGGCCCGCTTTGGTTTAGAGTGGGCAGCCCTGGGATGTGGTGACCTTGGGTAGGATGTTGGTGTGGGTGACAAGAACGACAGGGACAGGGACCAGTTCCATCCCAGGGGCCCCACCAGACCACACCTGCAACCTCAGGAGCTCCATTCCCCACACCCCACAGTACCGCTTTCTCCCTTCAGCAGGCCTGGCTGAGCTGGGTGGAAGAGGTGCCCCGAGGTGGGTGGGCATGCTGGCTGCACTGGTCTAGAAACAGACCCACCAGGACGGGAGCACTGAGCCCTGCTGGCCCGGCCCCTCCCTCTGCCTCCCTGCGGCTCTCAGAGTAAATTAACTAATTACCTCCAGTTAAAGCTCTGGGGCCTGGATTCCCCCTTGGGCCTCGGTCCTTGCCCCTGGGAAGTCTGGTGGTCCGGTCTGGGTCCTGAGGGGTGGCTGGAGGTGGAAGGTGGTGGATCGGTAAATGTGGTAGAGAGGGTAGGGACCCACAGTCGTTTACTTCTGAGGAGCTGTACAGCCAGCCAGGCCCTGGGCTGTGTGGCTGCAGAGGTACGGTCAGGCCTGGGATGGGGGCCTGGTGGCCGTGAAGCTGTGGAACAGAGGCTGCCTGGCAGGTCAGACTTGCGCCAAGGGGCTGTGCACAGGGCAAGGCCTCAGGACTGAACCAGGCACTCCAGGAGGAGCAGCAGGTCCTAGAACCCACTAGACCTGGGGACACCTGTGGCCTCCCTCCCTCCGCCCCAAGGGAAACATTCCAAACCTGGGGCCCACTGGCCTCTCTTTTCTCTAACACACCTCACACACAGCCGCAGCCCTGAGAACCCCTAAGTTCTCCGCCTCTGCCCCACCCCTGGGGCCCCGAGGCCCAAGCCCCAGCAGTGGCCCCGCCCCACCCCGCCCTGGTCCCACGCCCCACGTGTGGGACGTGCTGGGGACGTGATGTGACGGGGAGGTACCTGGCATCAGGAGGCAGGTGATGGTACTGACCCAGGCCTCACCTCTGGACGAGCTGGCCTGTCCTGGGACTGGGCAGGCTCCTGCCAAGCTGACTCAGGCTCCAACCCCACCTCAAGTGCCAGGGACATGGGCATCTGTGAAGTGGGGTGGGGCAGCCACTTGTCAGTCCGGGGTCGCCTTCTCTTGTAGGTTCAGGCTCCCAGCCAGAGCTGCTCCTCCCAGTCGCAGTGGAGGGTGACAGGGAAAGCCCCTCAACCCCTACCCGGCAGGGCACAGGGGCCTTCTGGGGCATGTGAATCATCCAGGAAAGGGGCAGGGCTGGGCACACAGGAGGGTCACTTCTGGGGTGTCCTAAGCCCTGTCTTGCCATTAGGCCCATGGAGACCTGGCCCCAAGCTCCATGCTTCAGGAAGGCTTTGTCATGACTGCTCTGCATGGCTGGCAGGTTGGTTCTCTAAGCTCCAGGTTTCCACTGGTTTCTCTTGTCCCTTTCCCAGACCTTCTGAGCGATTCTGCAGGACTCTAGTTCCTTCCTACACCTCACAGTGGCCAGCAGAGGGCGCTACCCAAAGGCTGAGGCTACCAGGGAGGGAACTGGAGAATCTGTTTCCCTGTGTCCAGCTGCATACAATGTAGAGCCCAGACTCCTGGACAGTGTGTGAGTGTGTGTGTG